TAGTCACTGGAAGGAGGCTATTGTGAAAACGACATTCACGACAGAGTCGAAAGACTCCGTGGCGTTCGGTGAGATAAAGGAACCTTATTTCAGCAGTGCAACACGACATCCGCCATCGTTCCCGATGCGGCGAGAAATAGAAGACCGACAGTTGTCCTTTTGGGAGTGACAGGAGCCGGCAAGTCCAGCCTTGGGAATGTTTTTCTCGGTCTTCGCCATGATGAACCGGAAGGTTTCCGGACAATCGCTTGCGCGAACAGCTGCACACTCGATGTCATTACAAAAAATTGCTTCTGGCTGGGAGATACCAAGAGACCCATTCGCATCATAGATACACCTGGATATGGAGACAGAAAGGGCTACGATGAACATCACAGACGGATAATTGTGAATAACCTCAAGAAAGAGGGAACGGTGGACGCCTTTCTTTGGGTTAAGAATTCCCAGCAACCGAGATGTGACATGCAGGAAGCGGAATACTTCCAAATCATGACTCAAGTATTCGGAGCCAGTTTCTTCAAGAACTTGGTGGTTGTCTTCAGCCGTTGGGGTTTCAGTAAGAGTGACGAAACAAAACGTAAAAAACAAAGACCGCCCTTGACATTGGATTTCGCCAAGAGAGAACTTTGGAATACCTTAGTGGAAGGCTACGATGACATCTCAGTGCCCATGATCCTCATCGATGCATTGCACGACGAGGAAGACGAGAACGAGGCAGCAGCATTTCGAAAACACGTTAACGATCTCTATGGTATGATCATGAAGTTTTTCCGCTATGCCAGTCAAGGATATCCAGATGGTTCGCGCCGAGAGAGAAAAGTTGGAAAATGAGATTAACAGCCTCGAGAAGAAGATGAAGGAAGGAAACCTTGCTGATGAGAAGCTGAAAACCATGGAAAGAGAGATGGAAAAACTGAAAGAACAGCTGGAAAAAAGTGACAAATCACAGCAGCCACCACCTTGGTTGGAATTCCTCAGTCCCCTTTTCGAAAAGTTGCTGGAAAGTTTGGCAGAAATTTGCATGAGAAAGTTGATAAAAACGCTTGCGAAGACCTCAGGAAAGTAGCTTTCAGATCGATTGACATGTGTTATTAGATAGGCCAGGAAGGGAGAAAAAAAGTCTAGGTCTTCCAACAACCCTCTTGAAGTGAAGAAACTAATAAAACCAAATGAACAATCAGTGCAGGAACGGCGTAATTATTTTCCAGTGTCTTCTTTCTGTTTGCCTCTTTCTTTATTGTTGATTGTTGATAGTATTACATCTGATTGGATAATGCATGATATTGTACTGATTGCGTTTGAGAGAGAATGAAGGATAAAGCAACTCCGCTTTCCTTTCGGAGGCATCAAGACCCGCATCATCTTTGGCTCCTACAAATAACGCCAGACGTGATGAGTATTTTTTTAGATACTTTTTTCGGTGTACTCTTTGGATGGGCGCTGCGTATTTCCCTTCTCCTCCTGGAAAGGAAGCGAAAGTATTAACAAGTAAATTCGCATGTGTAGAGTTTATATACATCAACTCACCTAAATGACAATTTATATTTTTTACCGAGACGCAAGCGCGTCCCCGTTGAAAACGTTAGTTCTTGGGGGTCAGAACTTGAATTGCACATTTTGAAAGAAGCACTTTTTTAACTTGGCTCGAGTAATGATTGAAAAACGAAAGCCAATTGTCATGAGCCTTCTTAAAAGCCGTTTAGTTTATATGTATCTCTAGGCGTACTGGTACGTATTGTCCCCTATTTCCCCTAGCTCAGTGCCTATATCATAAATAACCGGAGGCCTGCAGCCTGGGCCTGTGTGACGCCTACCCAGCCAACCCATACGGGTGGCCCATACCAGGTGTCATTGGAATCTCACTTATGCTGAGGCGTGATTAAATGAAAGGTCAGTCCCTCTCTATGCCTTACAATATCTATTTAAAACTTTCGAGAGGATTTAAAAAAATAAACAATAAAGCTTAGGCCTATAAACGATAATTGAAACGGTAAAAGGCCACTCAATGGGGGGGGGGGGCAAACACAACCAAGGCCAATAGAATACAAAAGCATTAAAAAAATAAAGTACAGACGAGGGAGGGGCGAGGCAGCAGCGCGCAAGGGGGAAAGAAATATCACAATCCGATCACAGTGAGGGGAACGTTGAACGGGGCTCCAACACGAACAGTTCCATCTAATCCGGAAGCCAGCAACGTGCACCCAACAGATGGCAGCAGAATTTCAGCCCATATGAGATGAAAAGCCCCTGAATGCTTATGGGTCGAGTACGATCCAACATGGAACGAGGAAACTCATAGACTAACGGAGCGAAGGTGCTTCACTAGCACAAGCCAAAGATACCAAATATTATTTCATACCTGGCACTTTCTCGTATATCGACGTCTTTCAGCGCTGAAGCAGCTAAACCGCTGAATAAAATGGGAGACATTTTGCACACCCACTTCCTGGCCTCCAAGGAATCATCCTACTCATTGAACACACTCTCACACTTACTATTTACCTTACTTTCGGAAAAAGACAAATTTCACAGTGAAAATTAAAGTGCCCGATCGCGTCAACATTCGAGATGTACGCATTGATGAGATGCATTTGATGGACATGGAGCAGCAAAATCAAAATGCCCATTCACGTCTACGCGTATCCTACCAGTCTTTAAATTGTTGCTGTACTTAAATTTCAAGAACCCCTCATAAATCCCGATCAATCAGGTTTCCGGAAGGCCGTTCACACCCTGTTTGAACCGCCGTCAGGAAGATGTTTCTCTATGTCAATAAAAGTAAATGCATCCTCTTTGTTGAAAGAAGGTCTATTCATCATGCCACTCTCCTATCTCTTGCTCTTGACATATATGTATGACTTGTCCTTGCTTGCAAATTCCTTCGAGTCACTATCTACAGTTCTCTCTAATGTACGAGGGCCACTTGAAAAGTTATCTACTTGAGTATGAAAGAGGAAAGGTAAAAACTGTTTCTTAGCTGCGTTAGATACAGTGGCCAATAAGTATTACTCAGAGGGAGTAATAAGTCGGTGGCCTTTCTGCTATATAGTTGAGAGCACATTGAAAATTGTTGAAACGGGCAAGACGGAGCTGTAGTATGGAGCTGTTGCAAAGTTCCTTACAAAAGAATTGATTTCACCCAAAGAAGTCTTTGAGAGTTTGAGAAACGTGTATGGCGAAGGTTCTCCTTCCTATAACTGAGTAAAATTTTGGCGCAAAAAGTTCAAGTGGGGGAGGGAGTCTGTAGAGGATGAAGCTCGATCAGGTCGCCCAGCAGATGCTTCAAATGACGAAATGTGCGACAAAGTCGAGTGTTTAGTGATGGAGAACCGACGTGTGTAGGTGTCGCCACTGTCAAGAGTGTGGAATCTCAGAAGAAAGAGTGCTACACATTCTCCACGAAAAGCTGGGCATGAAAACGGTTATTTCAAGGTTGGGTTCTAAGAATGCTGGGCGAAATTTTCGGGGGTCATCCTCTAAAGAACCTCCCCCACTAAAACTCCTTGCACCAAAATTTTAATTAGTAATAGGATGGTGAACCTTCGCCATACATGTTTCTCAAGCGCTCAAATACTTCATGTGGTGAAGCCGCTTCTTTTGTAAGGAACTTCAAAACAGCTTGATACGCCAGCTTTGTCTTGTCCATTTCAACAATTTTCAATGTGCAACATAGCAGAAACGCCACTGACTTATTACTCCCTCTGATTAATACTTATAGGCCACTGTATCTAACGCAGCTAAGAAATAGTTTTTACCTCTCCTCTTTCATACTCAGGTAGAAAACTTTTCAAGTGGCCATCGTACCACTAAGTGTTAGTCCTACAATAACATTCAGACTATCTAGTTTGTTTCATCTTGTACAACTCATCACGTGCTCCCTATCACACAAGTACAAGAGTGCATGATGCAATGGCGCAACAAAGAGAGGAGGATGTGATATTGTAGACATGTAATTTCATCTGGCCCTCACTAGCGGCATCGCAGGAAGCACTCAGAAATCAATCCGATATCATATTCCGTTGGCAATTTTTCTAAGCTTTCCTCCTCATATTTTTCACTAACGTCGCCTAAACGTCAGATTTCCTTTTAAGATGTCTTGTCGTTATAACTGTACCTTGAAATGCACCCCGATATTATGCCATTGTAGATGTAACGGTAAGGTTAAATATTAAAATGCACCACTGGAACTGCCTCGACTATCGTTGTTCTATTTGAGTAACTCTTATCTATTAATAATGAGTTATACCTTTTGTCTCCTTATCAGGCGACCCATGGACTTGCTGGATATGTTCGAAGGAAGTGCAAATATGCCACTCATAACTACAACTTATTTCCTAACGGTAAACCATTGCGGAGTTCCACTGCTGAGGAACTTCAAAAGCAGTACATAACATACATCTGAACAGCCCTGACTCCAATCCTTGCACGGTTGTTTAGTTCAATACTTTGCGCGAAAAAAAAACTCAATTTCGCAGATTAGTTTGGAGTTCAAAGTTTGGCAGGGGAGGTAAATAAGCGTTTATTCCCATAATCACCTGCCCAATAGTGGTCTACCCCTCTCAAGACAAATATTTTCACTGCCAGCAGGTTACGCACGGCAGATTAGTTACAATATTGATTAGTTGCAGTCATAATGACATTCGATTGCAGCTATATACAAATATTTTCGGCGGGTTCCAAAATTTTTTGTTTTGTGCATGACGAATGACATCTAACCACTTACTTAGGACACATGAGGACTACATCTTCACTTCAACTGTTCCACGTGTTCACAACGTGACATTATAAGAGGAACTAGCTAAATTGTGCATGTAACTGAGGGTGCATCCCCATTCATGGAAAACAAGCGTCGCACATGAAGTTAGCATTAGACTTCGTACAGGCGACATACCGGCGTGAGACGAATGGCACTCGAGAGCGTCAGAGATAAGAATTACTTTCCCATCTACATCCACAATCATATTCAGGTTCTCGATGCTCGAGAGTCACACTGTTCTGTGATCCCCTACCAAGCCATTTACGCTTTCTATCGATCATTCATAAAGGTAAGAGAGAATATAAAAACCAATATCCAATTCCCCACCTTTCTCTACGGGGTTTCCTAACGTTAAGCCTAGGCCTAACCAACAGACTGCCTTCAGGTCACGCCTAGGCCTACCATTTTTTTTATTTGCCGATGAAACTCGATTTTCGACTTGCGGGGACAATTAGACCTATAACGGTGAACCCGTGTTCTTCTAGACATCTCGTTGAGGACGAGTAACGTTACGCCCATAACAGGCCTATTCATACTTTCATAAACCGTTTCAGTGCGGACGTGGAACGATATAGCCTACTTGGAGTTCCTGAAACCATCTCGAATAGATCTGAGGAGGGAATGCCTCCAAGAAGCAAGAGATCTATGGCGCGCAATCCTGTTAATTCAGGAATGTTCGGATCAGATATCTCCATATCCCGCCACATCGATCAATTACTGCTAAACACTGCTTCATTCTCAGCTCAACTCATGAATTCAGCACAAAAATGTCTCAAATATTAAAAAACAGAAGGTCCAGGCGCCGATACGAAGGTTGAAGTAGGCTTGAATCTGGAACAATTTCGGCACGGTATCCGGCAACACTACGCGTATATCTAATATCTACTATAGGCAATATTGCTTCGCCAATGTTTCCAGCATTGGCGAAGCAATGTCTCCCCCATACTGCCCTGCCATCATCGATCCCATATCGAACGGATAGGACGATCCAATGTGCCCAGGTTGCACTTGAAAGTGCCTGGTAAGCGAAGTTCTCCTCTACGCCACTAGATGGTAGCATGATTCGCGCTTTTCCCACTGTACCCAAAAGTACCTTTCCCTCCCTTTTCATAAATTTTTCAAAGCAGCACTCAGTACCTCACCTTACTTTTGTCATGTTTCATAAAGGTAATCAATGCCGCCGTTTCTTCATATATTATCTCCAAATTCAAGACAGATTCGTGGAGCCCAGGAATCAAAACAAGTTCCTTTGCCCTATGAGAACCCTTCACTGTAGTAGCATACTTCATCAGGCGCTTTAGAACCTCATATTCACGTTCTAGTGTCTAGGAAATCAGACCATCTTCACCTTGTCTTGAGAACTGAATGCGGATTATAATGATTTCAATTCTTGTTCACTTCCCAGAACGAAAAAGAAGAGTATCACCGCCCGTGTACCACACATGGTACATTTAGGGATGACTTCGCTTCACGAATGTACTATAAGATGAACATCAGAAACTATCCTTAAAGGCATGATTCATTGGCCAATGTCTCGTAGGCGTGATATATGTATATTGTACTAGTGTTCAGAGCCAAGAAAGGACCAAATACTTTGTTAATATTGTTCCATTCTTGGCTGGAATCATTGACCTTTCTCTGGCAGATGAGAATTTCGTCCTTGGGCGAAACCAAGGAGAGTCCAAACACTTGCTGATGATATGCATGGTTGGCCCAATTGTGTTTGGCGATCTGGGTAGTTTCGAAAGTAGAACAGCTGCGTTTGCGTTTTGTTTCCACTTTTGTCTGATAAGATTTTTGAAATGGGATATCTACAACATATAACAGATAAAGGTCATAAACATTTTAATATCATTTCATGAACAAACCTGACAGTTCAGTGCACTATGGGCGTAGGACGTCATTTTATGGCAGCAGGACTCGAAGTGGCGACAAAGGCAAACAAGCCAAAAGCGATGCAGATAACGAACAATCAGCCGTACTACATAAGGCCTTGTACCGTTCCTAGGGGGTACCGTTAGTAAGTTTAGGGGTGACATCGCATGTGCGAATTGTGAGGCCGCAGTTGACTATAGCGTTGGATAAGCTCCGCACTCGGTAAGTATTAATGGCTGTATATTACTCAATCCATTTTGATTTTTAACCTCTACAGGGATGAATTTCTTTGACACGGTAAATATATACATATTTTACTTATTCATTTATTTATTGAAATATATACTCGACAAGTGTGCGAAGCTCTCTGTCCACCGCGGAATCCTCACCCCTCTGGGAGGTACCAGTACCAGCGACGTATAACTCCAAGAGCTTATGGCCCCTGACACCTATAGATACCTCGGCTTGGAAGAGAACTCTTCCGTGGCTGTCAAGCGCACGAAGCAGAGACTGACGACTGAATATAAACGCAGAGTCCGCCTCGTACTCACGTCCGAGCTATCCGGCAAAAAAAGGCTGTTGAGGGCAGCGATCTTAATCGCTGCCCTCAATAGCCTTGCCATCCTGTAATAGGCCGGACCTCACGATCTAAAAGGAGGAGAAGACCGCCCTCCTCGTAGATGTGAGCTCATAACCTCCAAGAGAAGACCAGGGAGAAGTTCGAGAAATACTCCGATTTGAAAATGGAAGTAGAACGGTTGTGCGGAATGAAGACCACCATCGTTCCGATCATCACAGGTACACCTTGCGTCGTCCTGAAAGAACACATGGGACATGTCAGGAAGCTGAAGTGTGATATCTCACTCGATATCCTCCAGCGTACAGCAATCTTGGGCACGTCCAGCATCCTTCGCTGTGTCCTTCAGAATCAGGCGAGTATGAGGTCTGGGATGAGTTTCATCCCCCCTCATACCTCCAATACTGGCAGTCGCCCGTGGAATTATATATATATATATATATATATATATATATATATAGAGTAAGAGAAGTTATTTGGTGCCGAAATTGCTCGAAACTACCCAAGGGCAACAGAAAATGCCCACATTAACTCCAACCCACGAAATAGCCCCAAATCAAAAGTTGGCACCATATTAAACTTCAATAGCCATGTATACCAGGCCAGGTAACTGCCTATTTAGCCAATATCTTTCTTTAATATTAGGTCCATTACTATATATATATATAAGGGATACAACGTCTAATTATATCCGAGAACGCTAGTAGTGATGGAAGAAAGAACAGGATGAACCAATGACAGAGAAAGTGCCTGGAGATATGATGGGGAATCTTCAAGAACTAGTGCCAGGGTGTCCGCGTGGTGACGTCATGGTTTCTTCTGCAAGACCAACTACTTAGTCTGTTCATGCGGGTGAACGATTTCCGCCGCCATCCTCGTAACTTCCTCATTTGTCTGGTGTTCTCTGTTGTTTATTCTTGCTGAAGGGATTGACCAGTATTTGTGCATTCAAATCCCAATTCCAATCTACTGAGGGCCGTATTAAGTAGTTGCAAGGGCCGGGGTAAGGGAATTCCTGGGGCTCCCCTTTCCCCTCCCCCCTCCCGCTACTTTTCGCAAATATTTAACGTTTTTAATTTCCTTCTGGGGTTTGGGGCTTTGGAAGAGTGGGGCCCGGGGCAACAGCCCCCTTTGCTCCCCCTCCCACACCTCTTAATCTGGCCATGTATCTGCTAAATCCTTGATCCTTCCTTTCTGCAGCGGGTTCGATCACATGGTGACAATGAATTAGAATGTTAAAAGTGCTTTATTTATTATTGCGAGAACCTTAGAGATCATGTCTTTTGACTTTGCAGTGTTTATTCCTGCTTCCTTCGGGTCACGTAGGATTCGCACAACGGCACTCAGAATTTCCTATCCCGAGTTCAACAGAACTACTGGTTTGAGCTTCAACGTTCTTCACATCAGATTCCGTACGTAAAGCATGCTAAGAATGCTTCAATTGATCAGGTACGTATTAGGACATTTGTGAGAAAAATTTATAACTCTAACTTAGACATTCTCTGGCCAATAAGTAAACTTCACCTTTTGTAGGCACTGGAAACACTTGCTTATCATAGGCATGTTGTCAATAATTCTCCTGGCAATCGCATTTTCTCCTGGGGATATACATGCAGTTCTAAAAGAGTCAGGACGTCCATATTGGCTGGAGTCAGTAAACCCTTCTCAAGAGGCAGTGAGGCAGTCAAATGTTTACAGTGGAGCATCGGCAAATACATTCAGCGGTGGAAAAGTAAGAATATTTCCGGAAGAACGAAGAATTTTGAACCGGAAATTCTTCACATCAAAACCAATAAGCAAGTCAAGAGCGTTGGACCCTTCATGCGAGCTTTGGGCTGTCCTCACCACAATAAATGAGCCTTCCGAGGCTCTGAGAAGGCTCCTTCTAACTAGGAAGTGGTGCATCGTCGTGGTAGGTGATAAGAAATCCACACCATCTTTCTCGATACCTTGGACTATAACGGGGGATATCGCTGTCGTTTACCTGAGCCCAGAAGATCAAGAGAACATGGGGGGATCGATCATGCAACACATACCATGGAACAGTTTTGGAAGGAAAAACGTAGGATACCTGTTTGCATTGAAACATGGTGCAAAGACAATCTGGGACTTCGACGATGACAATATGCTAAAATTTTGGGTGGACGGAGCAGCTGATTCTATTGCACCTTCCCTCGATCCATACACGAATCTCACAGAGGAATCAAATATTTCTGTAGAATTCCTGAAAAGAGTGAACATGACTTCAAATACTGCCTGGAACCCATATGCTCACCTGGGAATCGAATATTTGCCATGCTGGCCACGGGGGATGCCGTTGAGCGAGGTTCAACAGGATTCTTCTCATGATCTGAGGAGTGAAACAGGAAATATTACCTGGGGACGATTAGGGGTGATTCAATCGGTGGCCGACGTGCAGCCAGATCTAGATGCAATATTTCGCATCTCTCATAGAATAATTATATCTTTCAAAATGACGACCAAGACAAGGCCAGTGGTGACTCCAGATGGCATGTTCACCCCCTACAATGCACAAGCCACTCTCCACAATTATCCTGCATTCTGGGCGCTGCTTCTCCCAGTAACAGTCTCTGGAAGGGTCTCCGACATATGGAGGAGTTATTTAGCACAAAGGTTGTTCAGGGATGTCGGATTGCATCTTGGATTCTTTGCACGTCCACTCGTTGTTCATGATAGGAGTTCCCATTCTCTCATTGGGGATCTCAAAGCAGAGCAAGATTTGTATGAGAAGACAGAAAAGTTGATCGAGTTTTTGAATGCCTGGGAGAATGAAACAAACGACCTCGCTGTCAGAATGGAGGAGTTGTGGATTGAAG